AGTGTGTGTGTGAGTGAGTGAGTGTGTGTGTGTGTGTGAGTGTGTATGTTTGTCGTGTTGCCGTCTGTCAGCTCTGAGCACACAGAAATGGTTTGATGGCAAAACGCCTGACCACAAATTAGCACAGCGTTCAGGAGAAACACGCAGCAAAAATCATTGCCTATAATTACAAAACTATTTTTAACCAACCAAACCGCCTGCTTACAGCAGCAGCAGAGCGCTATCCAGAGCCAGAGCCGCATTTACACGACAGGTTTTCACACCAGAGCAGGAAGTGAGCGCGCAGAGACTTCCTGTGTGCTGAGAGAACGATCAGGATTCAGAACAAGCTGAACAGTTCAGTTAGTAGTGCTGATTACTAGTTCCTCCACAAAAAATTATATATAAATGATAAATTAAAAAATAATTAAAAAATATATATAAACAGAATAAGACATATTACTTTTGCAATATTTCACTGTATAAATAATAATAATATTAATTTACATTACAATACTAATATTTTAGGCTGTATTAATTTCTTTATTTTTAAACCATCAAACTTTTTTGACTGAAAATAACAGCAAGCCCTTAAGAAATTATATTTAATTTTACTGTTAAAAATTAAATTCTACAAAATTTTTTACATTTGTTTTATCATAATAATGTCACAATGTAACAAAAAAATTTTACTTTATACTTTACGGAAAGTATTTTTTTTTCTTTCTTGATTTCTTTCATAAAGTATTTTATATCATACAACAGTGGTTAAAATGCTAAAAAAAAAAATACAGTGTAAACAGAATATTAGTTTTTTATTAAAGAAAATTAGGTACTTAAAACTTTTGGAATCACAAAAATAATTGTTTATTTTAATATACTGACACTTTCAGTTTGCAGACATTGTTATTTTAGTATCATTAAGATACTATTATAGTTTTTAATCCATATTTTGAATTAGTGTTTATTTTTATATTTTCTGTTTTCATTTTAATTTTAGTTAAAGTTTTACGGTGGTGTGTCTGTCATTTTTATTATAATTTTTTAATTCATTTAATAAATTTTTATTCCCGTTTTAGTTATTTTAGTACATCGTTGAACTAAAAGAAAATGAGATATTGTTTTGGCAGCTAGCTGAAAGTTTTATTTTATTTCAAGTAACATTTTTTAATGGTTTCAGTTTTAGATTTAGTTAACGATAATAACCCTGGTCCTCTGATACGTAAATTCCTGAACACCTATCCAAATAATCCAAAATATTGATAAAAACAATTTATTTAATTAACCACAAGCATTTTTATGATTCCAAAAGTTTACCCAAAAAAAGTTGTTGAGGAAGAAAAAAAAGATGTTACACCTTGATTTTATGTGTTGTTTAATCAACACAAGTTATATGATACTGTAATACAATAGTTTTTGTTACATTGTGATTTTTTTTTATGACGATTAAACTCATTCCAGCCCCAAATTGTCATTACTGTGAAACTGAATAAATACTGGTTTATATGATATATTACATATCCTTTTGGAGCTTCACAGCTTCTGCTCACTGTATGTTGTATAAAGACCACATGAGTTTGTGGAAATGATGTCAGAACCATCATTTGTCGGGTGAATTAATACAGTGCTACACGTCACCACACAATTTTACCACAAATGTACAATTAATTGCAAACAAAGCCCCATAATTCCCTGCAGCTCAGCTGGAGTGCTGTCGTTTGTGTTGCCGAGGCTGATCACACACGCTGTAAACATCACATTACCCAGAAACCCCTGCTCTCACCAATCACAACACCAGAGCAAACGCACCGCACAAATAAACGCTTGACAAGATCCGCTGCAGAACTTAAAATACACAACTACTGCAACACGCAAACTATCAAGAGTGTGAGTGTGTGTGTGTGTGTGTGTGTGAGAGTGTGTGTGTGTGTGAGAGTGTGAGTGTAAGTGTGTGTGTGTGTGTGAGAGAGTGAGAGTGTGTGTGTGAGAGAGAGAGTGTGAGTGTAAGTGTGTGTGTGTGTGAGAGAGAGAGTGTGAGTGTAAGTGTGTGTGTGTGTGAGAGAGAGAGTGTGAGTGTAAGTGTGTGTGTGTGTGAGTGAGTGTGTAACAGCAGCACTGTATGAGTTCAGCACAGTGTTTGTACATGAAGTACGTTCAGTTAATATCAGCAGACAGATGTGATCGTGTTTCACATGTTAAACTGTAAATAAACACGACTGAAAGAGAGAACGACACGCTTACACTCATCTGAATAACGGATGAAGACGTACACACACACTCACACACACACACACCCACACACTCACACACACACACACACACACACACACATTGAGGGGAGGGGAAATAA